TCATCATTTACTCACCCTCATGTCATTTCAAACCTGTATGACTTACTTTTGTGGAACATAAAAGAAGATAGTTTGAAAATTGTTGGTAACCAGGCTCTTTTGGTTACCAGTTACTTTCATTACATGAACAAAAAATACTGAGATATTTCTCAAATTATGTTTAGTTTATGTTATAGGCTGTTGTAGCCTAAATGTTTATATGTAATACATTTTATGTTGAATTAAATAAAATATTTTTTTCTAAAGCTACTTTTTGTAATGTCTACTTGATACTTTTCTCATTTAATTCAATAATGGCTTTAAATTATGTTTTGTGCGTATTTTCACAGCCAAATTTAATTTGCGATTAACTTGATCATTTAATTAAGACTACACATTTTATTCGACTGACAGCCCTAATTAATACACATATTTTGCATTTAATATATGTATCGTGTGGTAACCGTTTTATGAAAGCAATAAGCCCCATGAAGCCGTGGCTTACATTGAATTTAGAACAGCTAAGGGGGTTTTAGGCCAAACTCTCCAGACACCCACCCTGATAAAAATATCGATCTGACCCTTGGATGGCTTTCCTTCAGGTGTAACCGATACAACCCGAAATTTCACCGTCTGCCCTGGTCGGTAGTTGTTCTTGTCGGTCTGGATAAAGATGGACATGCACTTGGGGCTGAAGACCATCGTGGTGGAGTTGGAAAACACTTGATTAGCTCCAACAAACCCCTTAACATCCAGCTGATATGGATACCAGTAACTCATGTCATCAGAAAAGACCTGTGGAGGGAAAACAACGCACAGTAAACTCTGCAACTCTGTACTAATACAACCATCTGGTTGGAGAAGATCCATTCATGGAAATTACAGTCTTGATACTCACAGGCGGAAGAGCCAGCAGTCTGGTAGAGCCTTTAAAATGAATGCAGAGCAGACATGAATACTTGTTTGAACAGGGTGGAGTTGTATATTATATAATATCATATGTACGTTGTATAGGTTATTCTAATAAGGTCACTTTTCCAGTTAGACCGTGTGATTTTGAATGTTAGACTCTGTTAGACAAACAATGTGTTTAGGATTTAAGAAATTGCATTGCATTGCATCTCGGGCCAAATTAATACATGTTAATAATTGATGAATTTCAGAAACTGCAAGGTGCTTTTTAGAAATAATTTAATACTGATTTTCTGCATATATCGGCTTCTCAATTATTAATTGTCCCGTGCTGAAACATAACTTTACATAAACTAAGAGAAAAAATGTTGAGTTCACTTCTGCTAAATAAAATAATAAGATAAAATAAAAATAAAAATAAACTTAACCCAAGTTTACCAAACAGTATATGTTGGTTTTGTTGCGCTAACATAATAAATGTTTTACATATATGTATAGGAGATATACAAATGTGGGATGAGCCAGATGGTAATTCAATGCAATGCAATAAAATAACACAATAAAAAAGTAAAATGATGGTGATTTACCTGCTGGGATGGTGTTCTCTGTTTGGGCCACACTGCTGTTTCCATGGAGGAGTTCAGCCGTGACTTTGATGGGATAATCTGCCAGAACGCTGACTGATAAAGTGGTCGGAACGCCACAGCGCAGGACTTCAGAGACGGATATGAGATAGGAGGGATTCTGTGCTGGGCTGAAATTAGAAAATGTCTTATTTTTCATAGGATTATAATAGAGACACACTTAAAAGATTCATCAAAGGATCCTGAAAAAAATAATTAAGCAGCACAACTGTTGATAATAAT